ATTGTTTTTGAAACTTCTCCATTTGAAACACAGTAGGTTATCTCTAGGATGTTTACAACTTTGGTGATGTTAATTAATTGTCAAAAATAAAGAGATTCTCACCCTTCACAGGGCCACCGATGATAATGGCGGGTGGTGTTATTATGGTTTGTTTGAAGACCCCGTGTCCAGCACCTATACCTATTCTGGTCTCACATCGACGGTTCGATTCTCTGTATTGATTTCATCAAAGATGGTGTTAATCTGTACACTGAGTATTGTTCGGGGAATGTTAACTATGGCGTTGTTACCCTAACTGCATGGTCCAAGTTAACGAAGGGGATAAAGTCTTGTGGAAGAAATGGACAACAAGTGGACAAATCTACAACAACTTTGTGGCACTCTCCTTCATTACCGTCGAGGCTCCACAAAACATGCCAGCATCAAAGTCAATGATGATTTATTTCGAATTATATCATGAAAGTAGGTTTGTTCTCTGATCTGATCAGTTAAAAGGGTTGTCGAATGAGCATGAGATCACTTACATTTTTTGGTCTCATCATTGAATATTTACACATTCATTAATGGAACTATTTTTTTAATCCTCACCACTTGTGAAATCGGATGCATTTCCTGAGATGACTTAACACATTGTAGGTTAATAAAATGCACCTTGGACCATTAATTACACAATCATAAACATGTAATTTGCTTGGGCTTGACCAAAGAACAAAAACAAACTCAGTTACTAAGGGAGAAATAAACTCATTTATTCGACTTTTACTTTGTCTATAATTGTTAAGACTTTCATACACCAATATATTTATGTTATTATGTTATTACCCACAACAGCTGTTGAAACTGAAAAGTGTTCTCATGATGGACCCTGAACCCGGCAGTGCAGCCGGTGTCACCAGCACAACCGACGTCAAAATAAAAACCTGTCCGTCTCTTGATGTGAAAGCTGTACAGGTTATTGTGGATGAGAAAGTTTCAAAATCAAACCCACCTAGGGAGTTAACATATTTCGACGCAAGACAATAAAGAATATTTACAAACAACACAATCCTAAAATTCAACATTACCTCCTTTACCCAATTGACTTAACAATTTAAAGCGTGGTTAATGTATCGTCATCAAAGTTTACAAAAATCATAACCGAATATGTTAGCGATCTTAACATTATATGATAATAACGTTAACATACGTAAATGAAAACACATTAGGCCCACTTACTGTTACAGTTGTAAACTGAAGCAGGTCATCCGTTCACACCTTAATTTCAGGCGAGTTAACACTATCTTTGAAAGGGGTAATATAATATATACGTATTCCTTAATTTGATTATGTGTATTTTGAATATACACATGCCTATCACTTACAAAATAAAAGAAGAACTGTGAGAGAGAACTTAATTTATGAATGTTTTGTGAAGGCGTGACCACCCCTTTGGAAAAATGAACAATCATAATTGGAGTACCTTGACACCAGTGATTGGTTTCGCGGCATCCCATGTCATGCATTTCGCCGAGGGTAAGCACGTGGACACATTTCGCTAATGACAGTTCGGTTGCATCATGCTCTAATGAATGAGTTCCTCCTGAACACGATTTTAAAGAACTTTCATATTACAATTAGATTATAAATATCACGTTTTTTTACAATTTTGCGTGATGAATGCTGAATGGATGTACGAAATGTCTTTCATTTGAACACTCCACATTTCGGCATGAGATTCAAATGAAATTTTCGTACATCCATTCAGCATAACATCCTAATTAATGTCTTCTCATCTTATCGGGCTTCTTGTATTATCATGCCTTTGTGATATATATGAGAAAAAGACATCCAGACATAAGGAAAGCATGTGTTATGAATATGCTATGGCTACAAACTTTTTTTCTCTCGCAATACTGTTTGTTAAAAGGTATGACGTGCGGACAGAATGAGCCAGTGATGAAAGTATTGTTGTTTCAACAGCGTTAGAACACCCAGACATTTTGGTAAGGACGGGGATCACTAGCACCCTGTGTTTGTTGTAAGAGGCCACTGGTGGTCAGGCTCGATGACTTGGCTGATTGCATGTCATTGTATCCCAACTGCGTGAATCGATGCTCGTGATGTCAATCGATTGATTGTCGTGTCAAGATTCGAATATTTACAGACCCTCGTCATATAGCTGGACTATTGCTGTGTGCGGTGTTCAACATAAAAAGAAGAACTAAGCATATATTTTGCCGTCGAAACTTGTATTAAACTTTTGTCCCATGACAATTATTCCAGACAATTTCCTTCACGGGTTTAACACCATTTTCGTCTCCTCGGCTTATCTCGCGATCAATACAGTACCAACGGAAAAACGAGAATATTTTACATGCCCATCTTTCAGAAATGCGCCGTTGCGCGTTATCAGCAGATCTGCGTCAGACGTTCAACAGTACTTCCTTCATACAATCTTTTCAGTGCTGACTACGATTTACGTCATCCTGTTGCCGCAAGAATCATGTAAATTATGCACATTGCAGATTTAAAACTTTATGTATTTTACATGCAAAAGATACAATCATAACATTCATCACATAGTATTCATGGCACATATGTTAGGAATAGTGGTCATTGTTTCGTGGGCCAAGCATATGTAAAACTTAACGTCTATTGTCAACACATTCCAGCTTCCAGGACTATTAGTAATAGAAAGATAACATTCATACGAGTTTACATAGTGGATCGATCTAATGGATATTGTTAACTGGATCAAGCGTACGTAAAAGTCACTATATCATAGGTTTATGCTGCAAGATGAGTCTTTGCAGCCACAAGTAATGGGATTTACATCATGAGCAACCTTGCCCACGTTCTGTAAAACGTTCCTGTAATTGAACAACGTGGATGAAACGGTGTTCGTGTGGGAAAATGAAACTGCGTGATGTTGTTTGCCCGATTCTCCTCCTTGTTAACATGTATCATTGTATACTTTGATGTGTAATTAGTTGTGCAAGAATAGCAAGACTGACCCTACAAGCGTGTGAATTAACCTTAAGAAATATATACACTGTTTGACAACTTTTTTGGTCTTATGTCAGCAATTCGAAATGAGAACAACATCATGAACTCAGCATAAATGTTCAGCCTTTTAAATATTAATATTTGATCTTAAAAGACGTCAACCCCAGATAATAACCAGTCTCGAATATCAGCCGAAACAGACCTTGCTGAAATGTGACCTAATTAAAAGGATGCCTTTCTGAAGTGCCATAAAACCTTCCAAAATGCTGTCTATGTCAATACAAATAGTGGACACAGTCCTGTATTGCTTGAAGTGTACATTAATTTTCAGCATGCTCCCACGAATGACACGGTATCATGGATAATCAACTTCTTTAATACAAATGTATCTGCTTCATAAGGATGTTCGAGACGTGTCTACAATTGTAATATTGAAGTTGAGCATCCGCGCTCTCTTGTCATTGGTTACATTGAATTTGAATATCACTCAAAAACCTTGCCATGATCACCAAGTTTGTTTTGACGCCTCGTATTCGCCACATTTGCTTCATGATTGAAAGTATCATGGTATAGGGGTTCCAACTCAATGCAAGTACGTGATCTGTCTTTTCACGTGGATGTATTTGTCTGAGTTGCTTTTGTGTGTGTGAGGAGCTATATAGCGATCAGTTCAAGTGTAGCACGTCAGTGGTTCAGTATGTGAAGATGGTTGGTTAACAATGTATTAAATATGCAAATTCAGATAATATATGCAACAAGATGTATTTAGACATACAGTAACCTACGTTTATAACGAACACGCTTATAACGAACTGACCGATGTAACGAATTTATTCTTTAGTCCCGACCATTTGTTGTATAAATGCTGTATATGTGCATATAACGAGTTAGGGTTATTACGAACTAAAATTAGTGGTCCCTCCGAGTTCGTTATGTACTTTCGTAGTTTACTTTTTTAATTATAGTTTAAAAATCATGAAATACATGGGAACCCAGAACTAGATCGGATTAGAGAGTATACATTTTGTCGGGTATCCAACATTATGTCATATCAGCTGATTAATAAACAAACTTTATCTATATACATGTATCTATGGTCTTCATTTCTATAACTCTTACACTTTTGAATAAAATGGTTATTCAATTATCATTGACAGTCATCACATTGAAAGGGTGCGTTTGTATTGCAACGTCTTTGTCAGCTAAAACTCCAAATGGAATGAGTAAGTAAGTGAGTTTGGTTTTACGTCACCATGAACAGTATTATATTTCCACGTGTGAAATTCATTTGGGAAGAAAGGCTGAAGTAATGATTCTTGTACGCCTAAGGGACTCTTGATATATTCATGATATATTCAGGTGAGATCGCCATGTGTTATGCAATATGTGTTATGCTCAATTCGGAATTAACGCCATGTCAGAGATCGTACCGTGTGCTCGCAATCTGAGCATGAAAATGTTCTGAAAAAAATCACTTTGACAAATGATCTTTTTATATACTATAGCTGATATTGAATTTCACTTCTGGAAGTCATTTCGCAGACAAGCTGTTCCCTCTTATCACCCAGGACCTCATCTCTCACAAAACCCAATTTTATATTTCAAGTGTGACATCAATTTCTCAGAAGCGTCTGATGTTTTTTCACTGCAACACGTCTGTGAAATTAAAGATGTATTTTAGGTGTTACATCCTTCCAATAATAATTTTCAATTGATTACGCACAAAGAAGTTTGGAAAAGATATCTTGAAAACTCTTTACGAACTATTCAACATTCAAATACCGCATGTATCCAGGTGCTAGTATCTGCTCAAATGCAGTTTTATTTGTTCCCCGACCAGTAGATCTGTTTGCATTCCAGTCACCATCGTAACTCCCTGGGGAGTATACAACCCAACCTGCCTACGGGCGCTAGAAGGTTTCTTAGACACATCGGGTAGCCATTCCTTGCTGCGTTAACAGAGGCACATTTTAACGATATTCAGAAAGTGTAAGCAAACAGAAATGATGACAAAATTCTAACCCAATGTTTCTTTATTCAGATTGACTGGGGGTGTTCCAATCAGTGCTTATGAATCAAGGTTCCTCCATAACCTGAGTGGACGGAACACCAAATAACTGTTGTGTACGGAAATGTTCGAAACCATACTTTTTCTCCCTGCCGGACTCGTACAATGTATGAAAAACTCGCAGGAGCCCCCTTGGAAGTAGTGGAAAACAAAGCATGTTTTTCTTTCATTAGGACGACGTGGACGTATTTTCCTGAATACGGTAGTATGCTGGCCCAGAATAGGTAAGTGCCAGTCACAGGAGATTCAAATATACCAGTAGATGCGTGGTAGCCTCCTCCATTGTTGAGAGTTACCCTTTGAAACTTGTAGATCTGATTACCATAGAGGGTAAGCCGTGATTGGCTCTGGCATGTTACCTAAAAAAAACCGTCAGACACCGTCATTTCTGAAAATATATAACACAGAATATTAGACAGAGGAGGTATTTCCGGTGTATATATGAGAAACATAAATTGTTTCTATGGTTCATTGTTCTGTCAACAAATTCAGCCTTCCCTAATAATTATGCTGATCTTGGTCAAAACCTTTTGTGATTATTAGGAATATGTTTTTTTCCTGAATGAGGACATAACTTCTAGGTTCAGAAGACATGCTATATATAAAATCTTTGCAGGCCATTAGTGACAAAAGAATTGACCTTGACCTCAGTCATGATCTGTCAGATAATTTCAAATTGCCACCATTTGTTATAGCTTCATTGTTCCAGTGGTTTCTGAGTAGATTGCGTTTACAGTGCGAGAAAAAACATTTTAATTTATTTAAAGAAAAAAAAATTCAGAAGGGAAAATATGTTGCGACCCAACAAAAACTACTTACAAATCAAATTGCATTGAACTGTGAGTAAAATGTTCTGTGCAATAGCTATAAAAAGGGTTTTCAATATGGTTACCTTGGCGGCCATATTGAAAATCGGATGTGCAGGTCTTTAATAAATTCAGGTGTCATCGTAAGTGGGAACCAGCAAATATTCAGAGAATACTACACTCATTCTCGTTAGATACCATTTTTACGAAACGAGTGGACTTTCTGTAGTATCTGACCGAGCGAAAGCGAGGTCAAATACCTTAGAAAGTTCACGAGTTTCGTAAAAATGGTATCTAACGAGAATGAGTGTGGTATTGTATTTATTACCCACGTTGAATATATATTTAAGTGTAAATTCATAACAACTTTCGTTCGTTGCCAGACGAAACTAAAACCGGTTGCAAAATCTGGTTGCGCATGAATAGTGATACATGCCCAAATATGGGCATTGTTAACATTTCTGTGCATACGCATTAACAACAACAATTCTTCAACTTATGGTAATTCAAGCGCATTGTTCTTAGTACGCAGAACACCTACTCGTATAAGAATAGTTTAAAAGTCACATATGCGCCGCGAATACGCTTCGAATGGCCACACTGATGGCAAAACCGGAGCATCGAACGTAAGTCTAGATATCTGTCCAGATCGTTTAAACTGACTTCATTTCACCACGCCTAACCTTTTACTATAAATCAAATTGAAAGTCGCGAAAGTGGTCGAGTGCGTCAGGCTCATTGGGACCCTCGATCTATCGGTAGACATTGCATATGGATATGGCTCGATTATATAATGTCTGCAGTAGCTCAGTGCATAACATATATAGAATGCAAACCGAATTTAATGCGTGGGACGATCTTGTTTGGTTTAATAAAGTGTGTGTAAATGTCTCTCGTTTTCGTGAGATTCCTTTAGTTCTGCCTTGTATTTGAGAAAGCGATTGACGTCTCGCGATTTGTTTATGAATGAAGTTCCGGTGTGACAGGTCATGGTTATCCAATCAAAACGAATAAAGCCAGGTCAACCTTGTACGACACACGTGTAACGTACAGATTTAGTATCTTACCACCTGTATCTTAACCACGTGGGTAATAATGTAAGAAAACTAATGTCAATCATTATAGGTTGGCATAATGAAATAAGGACATATTCAGTTGTAGTTTGTACTTCAAGTTTTCTGGAGAACTGACATATTGGAATTATGTGCTTTTGTTATCTTTCATAATGGTGATGACAACTTATGTTGGTGCTGGCACAAATGTATAGAGCCGATTACACGATTTGTTTGTTTGTCTGTTGTTTAACGACGCACTCAACAATATGAAGGCCTGAAATTTAACATTCAAAACCAAACTCTGCGTTTCAATTCTGATGGTTTATAGGCATTGGGGGGCACGGTTGGCCCAGTTGTCCAAGGCGCCGCGATTCGCTGTGCAGAGTTCCGTCCCCTAGACACGCCAGAAACCTATGATTGTGGGTTCGAATCCCGGTTCGCCCCGATTATGTTTCTAGGTTTGTCAGCACCATACCCGTGCTCGTGGTTTTCACCGAAGTGGTAAACGTCATAGACCTGCATCACTTTGGGCTTTCCTCCCACATTAAGCTGACACGCCGTGATATAACTGGAATACTGTACATGTTAAAAGCAGCGTTAAACCCAACTCACTTACTCGCTCGCTCATAGGCATTGTGGTGTCAGATGTACTTTGCACAAATTGAATACTTAGAAACTGCTGTGACAAAACTGTAGTAGTTTGTATGTATTTCTGCTCTGTAGCTTCTACTGACCGAGAGCTTTAAACCAGGAAGTCACATGTTTCTAACTTAAAATAAAAACACAGATTTAATAAAAGTGCGTATGAAGCTTCCACGCAATGATGCAATGCCTTAATACTTAATTGACAAACCGAAATAATCAAAAGTTTAACTTCTGGAACGAATTCTGATGTTATCCTTTGTGGGAATAAGCATGCAAAGTTTCAGATTAATTCGTAAAATGATTTTTGTTGATCATATTTACTATTATAAGGGCCTGTCGGGTAGCTCAGTTGTGAAAACATTGGCCTTATAACATACCTTATATCATTGTTCGATTCCCCACATGGCTACAATGCGTGAACCTTAGCATTCATGTCCCCAGTCATGACATGGCTGGATTAATTCTGAACGTGGCATGAACGAACATAAACTAATTAATGTGTAATTTGTTTCAAGAGGATATAATGTTTTGAGAAACAGATAATGCAAACTCACTTTTGATGATTGCTTCTTTTTCATAGAGAGTTGAATTGACAGCCAAAAGCTGACGTTCCATGGCCTCGAGTCGGGCATTCACTGACTCCAGACCATCAGGTTTGTTGCAGTCGGAACCTGCAGTGAGGGCGGTTGTGGCCAGAAGAAAGATGTCACGAATGTGGACCTTTCCCATCATGTGCGGCTGTGTGCAGTTAGCTGACACCCTGTGTCCATTTATACTGTGCCAAATCGTAGTTGTGACATCATGATAAGGCGGGTGCGACATATTGAGTGGGTGGAATACCAGATGGCACATTCATAAACACAAACCGCTTATGTCTTTCCCATAACGTGCAACAATCTCTCACCCATTGTGTTTGTACAGTAAAATTGGGTTCGATAAGTTGAAGTCGGAATCAAACACCTAGGTCTGTACTTGATGTACATATGTAATTTTTACAAGACCCGTGAAGATCCGGGATAGAATAGATCTTCAGCAACCCATGCTTGCCGTAAAAAAATTCTATGCTTGTTGTAAGAGACGACTAACGGGATCGGGTGGTCAGGGTCGCTGACTTGGTTAATGCTTGTCATGGTATCCTAATAGCGTTGATCGATGTTCATGAAATTAATCATTGGATTGTCTGGTCCAGACTCAATTATTTACAGACCGTCATCATAGAGCTGGAATATTACTGAGTGCGGCGTAAAACAACAAACCAACCAACCAACCAGACTCGATTATTTACAGACCGCCGTCATATAGCTGGAATATTGCTGAGTGCGTCGTTAAACAACAAACAAACCAAACCAATCCAAGGTTTGTCATTCAAGTTGATACGAAATTTGATGGTCTTTGGTGATCTTGTTTGCGTACCAGTATAAAAAACTTTCGACACGCCGCTGTGTTTACGTTGTCAGTAATTGTCTGAAACTTCCGCCACCTTGTGGATGCTGTACCCTGGGCTATAGAAGAATAGGGAGTTTTCTTTGCATAATTGCGCTGTAATGTGTGTACCGTGAGATCACATCGCATGACACGACAGTGGAAACATACAGTTTAATTCGAATAACTATTTTAGCATTTACATCTAGATCATGACAAAAACGTAAATGGAACAGTGTGAGAATGACTGGCAAGTGTTATATCAGTAGAACCAATATGAAAGTGAGCAGTGACAGTAGCCTACGACAGCTGCAGTGCACTCGTGAAAGTGGCTCCGTAACCGATACTATAACAGCATCGTGCACGTTGCAGTCAAATGTGTGTATACCACTCTTGCATCGCGTGACAAGGCAAGAAATCTATCAAAAATCGCGATCATGCCTAACAAAGATCATGCCCACCTTTCACAAATGTGGCTCACAGACTGTATTAGCAGTCTACCAGTTTCCAATATGTTGTATCTTTTGTGCTGGCTAAAATGACTTTTTGGAACGTGTAAAGCAGATTGTACGCACACATAAACATAATCCGGATGAGGCGCGAATCATAAATGCATGCCAAATATAAAATCGTTTGTATTCATAATAGTAACATGTAAGTAATGGATATTGTCTACTGGGTCAAGCGTAACAGTTAACATGTCAACACGTCAGTTTGTTATACAGTCAGTTACACAATGTAAACACGGCAAAGGGCACGGCGTCTATCGCTTTCTTTGTTTCAAGGAACAAATTGAATAACAAAAGGAATTTGATTTGAATATTGACTGGTTGATAGATGCTTGGTGATAAATGGTATTTAAGCATGTGCCCGCGGCATCTCGACTGTTATGACGGTTATGATGATTACAAAGGTAACAAGCTGTTTGATCAGAAGTATGTCCGCAAGCTGTCATGCATGAATTCACAATCATAGTGCAAATACCACAACATATCTTTGAAGGTACGGTACATAAGACGGGGAAAAACGTGTGTATATTGTTATATGGCAGTGTATTTTATTTGTTGAACAATGATTGTAACTGTATTGCATGTTTCTGTTGAGATTCGGTTGACGCTCATTGCATTGTGTTTGGACAATGATTGATTGTCAGGAAAGTAGTACTGTTTAACATAAGTAATGGTGAGGAAATTTCTGTTTTTACATGCTAGTGTGATTTTTAAACTTCCAGAATACCGTGGACTGATGTGGAATATTCTGTAATGCTCTAGTGCCGCTAGACTGGTTTCAGAAGCTAGTTAAGCTGTATACAAGGGGACAAGAGCGTTCCCTGACGTATCTCTCTCACACATCAAGACCAGCTTTCCCTACCAAGGCCCATCACGGAAGCTTGACCACCGCCGCCACTGGGTGACTATATTATTATCATTGACTTTTGCTATCACCACTTTATTTTTTGTATTTGATACTGATCACTGCTACCATATTATGTATTGCCATTGAATATTGTACTACAACTCTATTGTGTGTTGCCATTGTAATTGCTGTGCAGTAATTTGTATTGATTTGTAACTTATTCCTGTGTTAACATATTGTTTCAATTTGGGAATCGACGCGTAACAATAAAGCTATATCATGACTCCAAGCCGACAAGTCCTTGTTTTATTGCTTTAATGCCGAACACCAGGTAGAGAAACAAGTAGTATCATATTTTAAACGTATTTTGGTATGACGTGGCTGGAGCTCGAACCGACGAACTTCCGCTCTCCGGGCAGACGCTCTATTCACTTGACCGCCTCCGTGGTCTAGTGGTAGAGCGTCCGCCCGGAGAGCGGAAGGTCCGGGGTTCGATCCCCGGCCGCGTCATACCAAAAGACGTTTAGAGATTGTACGTGTTATACCCTGTCTGGCGCTCGGCATTAAGGGGCTGGTCGGCTCGGAGTATACTGTGTCTGAGTGGGGTATTCATGTTAAACTGCGGCATGGTATCTCAGTGAGCTAGCACTATAAATCGGCATCAGTCCGGACTAGTACAAGCAGCCACACAAACACACACGTACATGCACGTCGCTATGTAAGTGCAATAATCTTGGACGCGACGTTAAACCCCATTTCACCTCACCTCACCTCACCTCTTTCCACTTGACCATGGGGACAGAGCAAAGTTATGAATATGTCGATGCAGGGTGTTAGGATGTCGTTAATTTGTTGCCTGTAATAATTCCAATCTGCACATACTATTACATATGTTGGAGGCTTTATTAAGGCTATGTCCTCATGATTACCCAAGTCTATGACTGGAACTCAATTTGGATAAGAAGTTAACGCTTGAAAGGGAAGGCATGAACATGTTAAACATACCGTGAAACGTCCAACCACGATGAACGTAAAAACAAATGTAATGAAAAAACTTAGACTGGCTTGATTTCTTTATTCAGATTTAATCTGGACAGGAGAATGTCGCATTGTTACAGCTGATGAATCAAGGTTCCTCCGTAACTTGAGTGTCGATTTCCCCAGATGGTGGTTTGCCCACGGTGTTGAAACCACACTTTCTCCCTTCGTCTTAGTCGTACAATGTATGACAAACTCGCAGGAGACTCATGGCTGTCAGTGAGACCTATTATTCTTCCTTCTTTGTATAGGAACACGGAGACGCCTTTCTTAGGATATGGTAGTATACTGGCCCAGAAGAGGTAGGTGCCGGACACAGGAGCTTCAAATATACCTGTAGCCGCATGGTACCCTCCGCCACTGTTTATGGTCACTGTGTCAAACTTGTAAACTTCATTACCGTGGAGAGTAAAGGGTGACCTACTGCATACTACCTAAAATGACACATCGACCCTCGCCATTCCTGAAATAAAAGTAGTCATAAAAGTATATTAATGTATAGAATACTTTCCCATTAGCCGCTCATGATTTTTCCACTCAATAGGTCACAATCAGAGGTAAATGTTGAAGTAGGTTCGTAATAATGAACATAAGCTTATAGATCAAATGACATCACTAGTACCCAGCACATACACATATGTACCAACAGGTAATTGGGCGGTGCTGGGTATAATGAGATTACGCGTTAGTCACATGATGAAGGTTAAATAAGATGTGGAGGGCACGTGAAAAAGGACTTGAGATCTACGATTGACAAAGACATTGACTGCTGCGAGGACCGACATCCTACTCATGAAAGGTCAATCTTCTGACGAAGGTGACAGCATCTGGGAAGCTTCGTTTACACAATACTGACAGAAACCAAGGTGAAGAATGTCACTCCTTCCAATTGTCCAGGGTCTTTTGGATGCAAAACTGGTTACTCATAAAAGGGAACAGTTGAATTTATCATTGGCTAAAAAGTATTTTAAAAGATTACCCTCCAAATTCCAAGATCAATTGTAAATTTGGGATTCTCTTGAATTTATGAAAGCAGACTGGTTCAGAAAAGATATAACCTCAATCTGATATGTTGCCTCTTTTTCTGAAGAGAAGAGGAAGTTTGAAAGGGCTAATGCCGATGCCTCCAGGAACTGGTGTTGGGCTCGCAGCAGAACAGACATTTGTTACAGCCTGCCGTCGGAAGCCCAAAGCAATCCACGATCAGGTCAGAATACCAATAGTTTATATGATCAGCCTTCTAGTTCTTTTCGGAGCACTTTACGTAGGAGTCCCAGCCGCATCAACAGTGCTACTTCAACCAATTTTTATTTCTAAATACTGAGAAGGCCATTGGCCTATGGTACATGTATACACAAAAGTGAGTGAGTGAGTTGGGTTTAACGCCGCTTTTAACAGTATTCCAGTTATATCGCGGCGTGTCAGCTTAATGTGGGAGGAAAGCCCGAAGTGATGCAGGTCTCGGACGTTTACCATTTCGGTGAAACCCACGAGCACGGGTATGGTGCTGACAAACCTAGAAACATAATCGGGGCGAACCGGGATTCGAACCCACAATCATAGGTTTCTGGCGTGCCCAAGGGACGCAACTCTGCACAGCGAATTGCGGCGCCTTAGACGACTGGGCCACCCGTGCCCCCCTGTATACACAATAGTTAAGGGTACATTTATACAATTTACTATACAACAATAGCCATGGTAACTGTTAAATAACATCACGTCGTTGAATAAGTGCATGGAAAATGAACATTGACAAATGTTTAATTGTTACAGCATTTTTAATCTTCATTAGTAAGAAAACTTATACATGTGAGGATCCTTGAAAAAGTAATCATTAATGAATTGGTTTCTAATGTCAACATAGAATGGACAAACAAATAAAAAGTGATATTCATCTTCTATATTATTAAAACTACACAGTTGACAGA